GTTTTGGATATATTGAATGGTAGTATTTTAGTGAAGATTGATTTGTCTTCTCTTTAAGCAGGCAGTTATGGAAGATTTGATACTATGATATCTTAAGATATTAGTTTTAACTTGATAAATTTTATAGTTCTTCATTAGTATAGCATTCCCCTGTAGTTGGGTTCATTAGATCATAAATAAAGTGTATTCCTGCATTGTACGAACTGTTTATAAAAATTGTCTTGTTACCTATGTTAAACATATAATTAAACCAAATACATTGATTGGTTTAACATGTCGTTTGAGTTTAGTGTCTTATACTGCTTTCGTAAATATAATCCCCATGAGGAGATTACATCTCTGATTCTGTGTACTCCATTAGATCGTATATCAGCCTTGTGACCTCACCAATATATCTTCCTGGTACAAAACCTTTTGGATCATCATTTATTATTAAAGGTAGTATCTTTTCATTCTATTGGCTATAACAGCCGATGATATTTTATATGAGGTGTTAAGGAGAGAAATTGGCAGCCAACTTTATAAAAATGGTTTTGGTTGGTTTTTTGGGGGTAGGCATGTAATTAATCCTTGTTTCTGAGAAACTGATAGATTTTGTTTCGATATGCATAATTTACAGAATTTATCAAGAATTTATTTAAGTCTCCAAAATAATTTTAAAATTTCGTTGTAAAACTGTCTGTCTGTTTTCGGTGTATGATAAAATGAGGTGTATGATAAAAAGGGCGCCAGAGCTGTTGTTATGACAGATGTTATGTGTTGGTGGCTAAGGGTCAAAACACAGGCAAATTTTCACAGTACTATGATGAGAGTATGATAAAACGGGCTGATAAAACGAGGTGTATGATAAAACGAGGTGTATGATAAAATGAGGTGTATGATAAAACGAGGTGTATGGTAAAAAACGGGCGCCAAAGCTCTTGTTATAACCGATGTTATGTGTTGGTGGCTAAGGGTCAAACAAAAGGTAAATTGTCACAGTACTATGATGAGAGTATGATAAAACGGGCTGATAAATCGAGATGTATGATAAAACGAGGTGTATGATAAAATGAGGTGTATGATAAAATGAGGTGTATGATAAAACGGGCGCCAGAGCTGTTGTTATGACAGATGTTATGTGTTGGTGGCTAAGGGTCAAACCAAAGGCAAATTGTCACGGTACTATGATGAGAGTATGATAAAACCGGCTGATAAAACGAGGTGTATGATAAAACGTGGCGCCAGAGCTGTTGTTATGACCGATGTTATGTGTTCGTGGCTAAGGGTCAAAACACTGGCAAATTGTCACAGTACTATGATGAGAGTATGATAAAACGGGCTGATAAAACGAGGTGTATGATAAAACTAGGTGTATGATAAAACGGGCGCCAGAGCTGTTGTTATGACAGATGTTATGTGTTGGTGGATAAGGGTCAAAGCAAAGGCAAATTGTCACGGTACTATGATGAGAGTATGATAAAACGGGCTGATAAAACGAGGTGTATGATAAAACGAGGTATATGATAAAAACGAAGTGTATGATAAAACGGGCGCCAGAGCTGTTGTTATGAGAGATGTTATGTGTTGTGGCTTAGGGTCAAACCACTGGCCAATTGTCACAGTACTGTCATGAGTGTTGTGATAGAACGGTTTCTAGAGCTGTTGTTATGACAGATGTTATGTGTTGGTGGCTAAGGGTCAAAACACCGGCCAATTGTCACAGTACTGTCAGCGAGTGTTGTGATAGAACGGTTTCTAGAGCTCTTGTCATGTCAGATGTTGGTGCCAAGCATGTAAAATCTATATCTTTCTACAGAATGTGTGACAGGGGTGGACAATACTCCATGCTATAGCTGCGATGGATGATTGCTTAGCCCTAATTTCCGTGTCCAGTTAGAAAACAATAGACCAGCAAAACAAGCAAAGGAAGTTGTCTTCCGGACAGGTTGTCACTGACGGCAAACACATTGATAAATTTGCTATTTTGGTTCAATAAAAATGTATCTGTTGTTTACTGATCTTTTGTAAGAACGAAAATTCTATTTTCAACAGCTTGTCACAAGTAAACCCAGCATATGAGGTAAAGAAATGTACTTTACAACTGATAGTGTTAATCTTCCACAGCTTTTGTCACCAGTAAACCCAGTAAATGATGTAAAGAAATGTACTTACAACTGATAGTGTTAATCTTCCACAGCTTTGTCACCAGTAAACCCAGTATATGATGTCAAGAAATGTACTTACAACTGATAGTGTTAATCTTCCACAGCTTTGTCACAAGTAAACCCAGTATATGATGTAAAGAAATGTACTTTACAACTGATAGTGTTAATCTTCCACAGCTTTGTCACGAGTAAAACCCAGTATATGATGTAAAGAAATGTACTTACAACTGATAGTGTTAATCTTCCACAGCTTTGTCAGAAGTAAAACCCAGTATATGATGTAAAGAAATGTACTTACAACTGATAGTGTTAATCTTCCACAGCTTTGTCACGAGTAAAACCCAGTATATATGATGTCAAGAAATGTACTTTACAACTGATAGTGTTAATCTTCCACAGCTTTGTCACCAGTAAACCCAGTATATGATGTCAAGAAATGTACTTTACAACTGATAGTGTTAATCTTCCACAGCTTTGTCACAAGTAAACCCAGTATATGATGTCAAGAAATGTACTTACAACTGATAGTGTTAATCTTCCACAGCTTTGTCACGAGTAAACCCAGTATATGATGTCAAGAAATGTACTTTTACAACTGATAGTGTTAATCTTCCACAGCTTTGTCAGAAGTAAAACCCAGTATATGATGTAAAGAAATGTAATTTACAACTGATAGTGTTAATCTTCCACAGCTTTGTCACGAGTAAAACCCAGTATATGATGTCAAGAAATGTACTTACAACTGATAGTGTTAATCTTCCACAGCTTTGTCACCAGTAAACCCAGTATATGATGTAAAGAAATGTACTTTACAACTGATAGTGTTAATCTTCCACAGCTTTGTCACGAGTAAACCCAGTATATGATGTAAAGAAATGTACTTACAACTGATAGTGTTAATCTTCCACAGCTTTGTCACGAGTAAACCCAGTATATGATGTCAAGAAATGTACTTACAACTGATAGTGTTAATCTTCCACAGCTTTGTCACAAGTAAACCCAGTATATGATGTAAAGAAATGTACTTTACAACTGATAGTGTTAATCTTCCACAGCTTTGTCACCAGTAAACCCAGTATATGATGTCAAGAAATGTACTTACAACTGATAGTGTTAATCTTCCACAGCTTTGTCACAAGTAAACCCAGTATATGATGTAAAGAAATGTACTTTACAACTGATAGTGTTTATCTTCAACAGCTTTGTCACAAGTAAAACCCAGTATATAATGTAAAGAAATGTACTTTACAACAGTAATAACAGGGTATCCAATTTTGCCACAACAGAAAATGTGGTTATCCTGATTGGGCAGCACTCACGCACGCATGCACCCAACACACACTCTCTCTCTCTCTCTCACTCACTCACTCACTCACTCACTCACTCACTCACCTCACTCACTCACTCACTACTCACTCACTACCACTCACTCACTCACTCACTCACTCACTCACTCACTCACTCACTCACTCACCACCACACCACTCACTCACACTAAGACTATAGGTGACCCTTTGCTGCTCCACTACATATTGTTTTGCTATATGTTCTATAGCAGGTTTCCATGCAGCCCAGGATGGAGGCAGTATTGGTTGCTGTGGTTACATCTTGTACTTGGTATCAATCATCTGTATGCTAGCAACCATTCCATTCTCCCTCTGTCTGTGCACTAAGGTAAGATCAGTGCTTTCAAGGGTGTGGACATGTCCAGTTAGCACATCATTTAATGGGGTCAGGGGCTCGATCCAAAAGACCTATTGAAGTGCTATGAATGTTCTGTGGATTGGGCCCCTGAATGGAATCTTTATGGTGCGGTCCCAGTGCCGACCTTCACGTTACTCGACCTTCTCGACCTGAAGGTCGAATTGGGGGTCGAGTTTGTCGAGTCTCAGAACGAGTTAGGTCGAGTCAGGTCGAATCAGGTCTACCAAGCTTTGAAAAATTTGTGACATGTCAAAAATTTCCCCGACTTCCTCCTCGACCTTCGGTCCGAGATGCTGTCGAGACCAGGTCGAGAATAGGTCGAGGTAGGTCGAAAAAGGTCGAGTTTAGGTCGACATTAGGTCGAGTTGGTCGAGTTGAAGGTCGAGCTGGGCTGACATGCCGATCTGTGTTCGTCTTAGAGTCGATCTGTACTCGGCCTCGATTCGACCTCGACTCGACCTTGAGTCGACCAACCTCGAACTGGACTCGACTTGGACTCAACCTGGAGTCGACCGAGTCGACATGAAGTCAACCTATCTCGACCTCAACACGACCTAATCGAGTCCGCGCCGACCGCATAAATGGTCGCCATCTTCCCAGATGCTTCATAAAAGCCAAACGGCAGCCAGTGGTAGCACATCATCTCCACACCAACATGCTGCCACCCAGAGGTCCACCCTGAGCACACCACCCTCACCTCCAACACGCCGCAAAGCAGCGGAACAGGCTGGCATCTTCCCCAGCTTTGACTCCAGTGCTGCAGCAGGTATATCTCTGTACCTGCCAAGCGGTCTCTTTGAACCCTACACACACCTCAGAGGATCAGTCACATGTTCAGGACTCTCAGCAAGGACAGTGAAACTGAGAAGTAGAACTTGGTACTATATATTGTCATGAGCACTTTATACTGATGTGAAATGTTACCTTCAGATTATTTAAATGAGTTTCAAATACAAGATTTAAAAGCTTTTTTTATCTGATATTTAATTTGTATTTTCCATCCATTGCTAAGTGTAAATGTAAATACATCTTGTAATGATTGTAATAAAGTTTGTTTTGTTCATCATGTATATAGTTAGTTTTCATTGTGTGTTTTTCGCATTTACCAATTGTAAATAGTGTAAATAAAAACAAACAAGAGTTCCTTTGTAAATGAAGTAGTCCTAAATAATAGAGTACACTTTAAAGTCATTGGGATATCATCTTCTCTTGCCAATGAACAGCTCCTGGGCCCATGAAATAGTCCTTCAATAGTTTCTTTGGTTGGCGCCATCTAGTGGGGTAACGTTCCTCGTACCCCGGTTACCCCTTTAAGCAGCTGTGTGTAGGAGCGCCACTTGCCTGGGGTGAGTGAACAGTCCCCATTCCCCGGTCTATGAGGTTCATCTGACTGTTCCGGTTCCTCGTTCTCAGCATGTTGTGTAAAGTGACGCATGCCTGGGATATCTGTTTAGGGAGCCGAGGAAGATCTGGAACCTCATAGCCAGAATCCCGAAGGTATTCTCCACCACTCGTCTGGCCATAGACAGTCTGCAAAAGTCACAAATTAAACATTTTTAAGTCAAATGCATACAAAATTCAAAACCTTTGATATAATATTGCAGACACCCAAAGATACTAAGTTATAATTTGTTTATGGAAAAGAATAATTACCTGCAGTTGAAGATCTGCTGATCGGGGTCCATCTGACGCATGGACTTCATCATCCAGGGCGGAGTGGAAAGGCATCGTCTCCGATGATGAAGTATGGCACACCATACGGGAAATACAAGGTCATCGCCTTCCATCTGATCTCGTGAATGATTGAAGACCATCAGCGCCTGATGCTGATCCCTTGGCCCCAACGTTGACCCACGGAACTTGTAGTCGGCATCCGCGAGTGCAAGCAAGACAATAGAGAAGAAGTTCTTGTAGATGTAGAAGAGGGACCCGCTTTTCGGGGCTTCTTTGATGCGTATGTGCTTGCCATCAAACGCACCGGTGCAATATGGAAATTGCCACCTTTCCTTGAAAGCACGGGCTACAGTATTCCATCTACTCTGATCCCACTCATCTGACCAATACTCAGCTTTGAAGGCTTCAAGGATAGGATTGATGTGCTTACGGCTGAGGCTTTGGCTTTGGAGGAGGGTTGGCATTCTCCAGGTCATCCACCAGTTCAAGCAGGTGCCAGGCTATCTGCACCCAAATGGTAAGCAGTCTTCGCTTCTCGGGCTCACTCAGGTTTATGTCAAGGTTCCTGATGGTGATGGAACCTTGCAGTCCTCTAATTGAATGGGTACCTGGTGAAAATGCACCCTGTAATTTATACAATTTGAAACCAAGGGTCTACTCGGCAGAAAAAATGGAATTTCCTTCGAGAACCAGTCGCCCTGGTTGAACACAGGTCGCGGTGAAGTCGGGCCGGTCGACTTAGGGCGAAATTAATTCGAAATTAGGGTCGATATACAGGTCTAGCTGGTCGAGTATAGGTCTTCTTCAACTTAGCCGACCTAAGTCGAGATAGGTCGACTGAAGTCGAACTAAAATCGAACCAAGGTCGTAAAGGTCCTTACGAGGTCGTTATGAGGACGTTTTGAGGTCGAGATACCCCCAGGTCGAGACCGGTCGAGTAGTTTTACGAGGTCGAGTCGGTCGAGCTCCCGAGGTCGCCACTGGGACCGCACCATTACGATTAGTTTTAAGAGTGTTTTATGCTTTTTGGTTTGGTTTAGTTTGGTTTTTTGTTTTGTTTTTAGGGTTCCCCAAATCAAGTATACAGAAATATGTAAGCAGGTGTAAATTGCTGATACAACCAGGTTCTCCAATAAATACCGGTAAAATATCAAAAGTTAACAAAAGTCATCAGGTTCAAAAACTGGGAAAATGGAGACCATTTCTTTTTAAATTTATCAAAATCATTTTTTCTTTTGGAAATAAATTTTCAACTATTAAAACTTTAAGAAATTGATCAATTTTGGATACATTTTATTCAAAGTGCAAAATGTATATCTAACCTTTATCAGAGAGGATTATATGATTTAATAGTGGGTCTTCATCTAAACTACCAAACCAAACAAGGAATAATCCAATTTTTCAAGGTCATTCCAAAGGTTTTGGTTCCATTACTATCCCAATAAACGTGGCATAAATTACCATATCATTACAAAAGAACATACTGCATTGTCAACCAATCTTATTTTCACCATTTCTTTTTAGTATAAATAGTTCCTTGCAGGAACTTTTATTGAAAGTTTGTTGTTTATATGAGTGAGATATACAAAAGGAATATGCCCAAGCCATCAACAGCTTGTGGTATTTGACTAAGGATATAAATTATTCATGAAGACATATTTATATTCCTCCAAACATATCGTATTTGCATCATAATGTTTTGGTTGCAAACTATTCATGCCATCGCTACTAGGGCTGCGCAATATAACCGGTTTACCGGTATTTACTGGTTCAGACATGAAAACGATACGTATTGCGATACGCTGATCGAAAACCGGTATTTTGACATGCATTCGGAAAACCTCGTAACACTCGGAAATCTTCGGATATTTCCGTTTCTTCAGTTGTTCCTTTCCTTTTTTGTATTTGTGCCAAATATTGTTTACATTTGTTTTAGTCATGATTAAAAGTTTTTATTAAATCTTAATCAAGCATAGTGATTTTGTTGTGTTTTTGCTTTATAAATCAGGCATTAACTCGATTATACGTAGTTTTTGTTGAAAAAACCTTCTTGCAATATATTGGAATACATATCGCAATATACGCTTTGCATCGCAATATATCGCAATATGAAAATTCTCTCTGCAATACCCACCCCTAATCGCTACTCACCCCTTGATGACTCGTTTATCAGATCTGATCTCCCCTGATGACAATATTCATTTTGAACTTCGCTTTTATGTCTGTGTGTGTGTGTGTGTGTGCGTGCGTGCGTGCGTGCGTGCGTGCGGGTGCGCGCGCGCGCTGGGGTAGCCTAATGGTTAAAGCGTTCATGCGGAAGACCTGGAGTCGATTCCGCACATGGGTACAATGTACGGAGCCCATTTCTGGTGTCCCCCTGCTCTGATATTTGTGGAATATTGTTAAACGCGGCATAAAACAGCACTCACCTTTAAAGCGACCCATTTTCTCCACAGCAGCATACAGTGAGTGAGCGTGTGTCAGCCATCCACTGTATTCTGGGACTCGGTAGTTCCGGTAGATCTTGCAGGAATTGGTTCTCAGCACACATATGTCTTCTTTGAGTGGCATTTTAGAAGTTGGGAAGTACAATATGATGCACTCATCCACCAAGCCCAATCTACTGTATAAACTCTGCTGTATAAACATCTCATTATTATTTGTACATCGTTGGATTCCACGCCTGTCCTTTGTCTACTCTCTGGCTTCATCAGCTTACTGCCTTGCCAATTATGTTAATTATGTTGTTTTCTTTGTTACATTGTCACATTCAGTATATATATATATTTCCTTCTTCATGTTCCATTAATGCTTGACAACGGTACAAGAGTCTGTATCGAAAACGTCGCACTCACGAATAAAAGAAGTTGTTATCCATAAAGTTTGTTGTATATTACACATATGTCCCATGTTTTTTACAACAATGTTTTATCAAAATCCTTTATAGTCACTGGTCTAACCACTGGTATTATTGTCACATTGACCTTCATTTCTCCTGAGATTTTGACAAGTTACATCAGATGAATATAATTGATAAGAGGATTAAAAAAACCCAGGTGATTATTTTCAGTTCATCACAATATTTTTTAGAATTATTTGAATATCAATACTGACAACATTTATGATGTGGCGATCTTTGTAGGGTGTGTTTCTCAAATATGTAGATAGCCTTCAGTGCTTGTGACCATTAAAGGTAGGGTTCAAACTTATACACACATGGGGTGTAGGCACATAGCCTGGTCCAAGCTGTATTTCGATGCAAAGCAAAGCAGTATCCCAGTACAAGCCATGATATATCTTGAGTTACCGGTTCAGGATGACTTTAGGCCATAGTATGTAAAGAAGTATGTTTATGAAGGCTCACAGCAAAACGTATGGATGAAAACAGCCTACAAAAACATACATTTTGAAAATATATTTATCTTTTTCTAAATCTAGATTTGAATTTCCCACTGCATCACTATACGGGGGATGTTTCATTCAGGGTTTCATATTTCATGCCGGCTGAGAAAATGACCCCTTCCCACTCTGACCCCAAGCTGTGCAGGGTTAGGGCTGTACATGTATTTGATGCTGACATCATTTTGTTGGAGTTTTTAGAAAATAGTGAGTGAGTGAGTTCGGTTTTATGCCGCACTCAGCAATATTCCATTTTCAGAAAATAAGTATAATTTGACTCTTGCCACTCATGGGCAGATAACATCTTCACTGCTGAGGAGAAGCCAATGGAAGACTAATTGGAAACCCATGGGATATTTTGAAGTTTACACTCTGGCCTGTAACTTTTGATATAATCTTTCATCTTTGGGACAGGTGCTAAATCATTATGAGAAGGTGGTTATATTCCGACTTGGTCGACTGAGGTCCCGACAAGACAAGAAACCAGGTAAAATGTTTTTCTTTGTTTAAGTACCACCTGACTTCCTCCCCATTGTCATGTCCCACTGGACACCCGTGAAGATCCGGGTGAATGGGTCTTCAGAAACCCATGCTTGTCGTAAGAGGTGGTCAAACTCGCTGACTTGGTTCACACATGACATTCCAATTGCATAGATCGACACTCATGCTGTTGATCACTGAATTGTCTGGTCCAGACTCGATTATTAGCAAACCGCCGCCATAGTGCAGCATTCAGATAGGAATAGGTTCCCAGCAGGCAGCGCTGGTCCAAAAAGGTTTCCAAATGTGTTAGCAAAATCAGGCTTTGTTTGTTGTTTATTGTTTATAATATCAATCACTAGCAAATCCCCAGATTCCAGTATATTCAGATCAGTATATTAATGATGGTCAACAGAACAGCGCACCTGGTATATGCAAATGAGCCACAACACAAGGGAAGGTTCACAGGCCAGTGGCCAATTTGCCCACCTTATGCATTCATGCAGACCTGACACTTTCGTCTCATTGAGGCCACAAAATGATTTCCATTCCAGGCATTTTCTTCATCAACCCATACTTGGACTCCTTCATCAAGGTTGACATGAGGACCCTGATCTTGATGTGCCGCCCCAGGAGGTGGGTGTCATTGGGTTTAGGGGACATTTCATGCGTGTGGTGGGTTTAGGGTTGAGGATGGTGTCGCTGCCAGGATGAAGCGTGGTTTGATCACAAAGAAACAAGGAAGTATATCTGGTTGGGGTGGGTTTGGATGGTGTCGCTGCCAGGATGGTGGTTTTATAACAAAGTAACAAGGAAGTTGTCTGGCTGGGGGTGGGTTTAGGGTTGAGGATGGTGCCGCCAGGATGGTGGTTTTATCACAAAGTAACAAGGAAGTATATCCGGTTGGGGGTTTGTTTAGGGCTGAGGATTGGTGTCGCTGCCAGGATGGTGGTTTTATCACAAAGTAACAAGGAAGCATATCTGGCTGGGGGTGGGTTTAGGGTTGAGGATGGTGTCGCTGCCAGGATGGTGATTTTATCACAAAGCAACAAGGAAGTATATCTGGTAGGGGTGGGTTTAGGGTTGAGGATGGTGTCGCTGCCAGGATGGTGGTTTTATCACAAAGTAACAAGGAAGCATATCC